TAGTAGTAGTAGTAGTAGTATTGTGGAAAGAAAGAGGAGGAGGTTTGCAGGCATTGGCTCGGTCGCACGAACCGGAGGTTCGGGCACAACGGGTTTATAGGGTTATATATAGTTTATAGGGTTTAGTCTGTGCTTTTGTGAGGGTTTGCGGGGATTGGCTCGGTCGCACTTCAGATTTAGGGTTTAGGGTTTCAAGCTTTATAATAGGGATTATAAATAGTCTGTGCTTTTGCGAGGTTTGCGGGGATTTGCTCGGTCGCACGAACCGGAGGTTTTGGCACAACTTCAGATTTAGGGTTTAGGATTTCAAGCTTATAGGGTTTGTGGCTCCCGGCTGACATCGTTTGAGCTTGTTTCCTCAATAGCCTTATAACCCCTACTTAAGTTTTGGCCCTTATAGCCGTTATAAAAATCTTAAAACCCGAACCCTAAACCAAAAACCTGAAGGCCTACAATCAAGGTCTGGCATCCAACTATAGCAACAGCAACTACGGGACCTACCTATCTACCTACCTACCTACCTACCTACCTACCTACCTACCTACCTAACGATGTTGCTAGCTATCCACCCACCGAGACACCTACCTGCTGACCTTGCAATTGAAACATCTTTCCGAAGCCTCAAAACTGAAACGACTCATCAAGCCCATCATCTTATACACCGTGACAAAGCTGGCGTGCTGCTCTGGCCATCTCGTCGGAGAGGAGCACGATCTCGGCAAGTGCCGTTGGAGAGTGACTCTGCAAAATACAAGCTAGATCGATAAAGACCGCTGCAGACAGAGATCTATGACTCTATGAATCACGGCTCCGGCCACTCCTAGCCAAGCCACTGAATCAGCAAGAGCAAGAGGGCTGAGTCTATGGCTTCAGTCACATTCGGCTACATAAACGACCACGGGGTCCTGCTACTTTGTTGAGGAGAATTCCCACAGGTCCGGGGGAGCAGAAAATAGGATTTAAGGCTTGGGGCTTCGGGTGTATAAGACCTGAGGGTTGTCGGGTTTAGGGCTTTTAGCTCGAACCAAACTAGAACTCTTTGGCAGTGTCCATGTCATGCAACCCGTGGCGTGCTGAGGGCACATGCTGCAGATTCGCGACTTCCAAGAGCACAGCAGCAAGCGAGGCTTGCAACAGGCCGGGCTGTCTACAGGTTAATTCGACCCTGGCATACCCTGCCGATGTTTTCTATTGAGGCTGCTATACCCGATACGATGCACATGAAATCAAGCCTGCTATAAGATTTTCGAGCCTGGGGCGATAGGTTTGGCCTGTTACGGTGTTGTGTAGGCACTTATAAGGTTCTTTACAGATATGTATATATTATATTGTGACCGATACGATGTTATGGGCGAGTCGACTTCAGTATGAGACGATGAAATCGGGTCGCAAGGAAGCCTGCGTACACTAGATCATTTTAGGAATAGGGTTTATCTAGGGTTTAGGGTTTATCCGGGTATATTGCCACAACCGATTGACCCTACACTGGCCCCCAGCTTTATACAACCCAGGAACCCAAAAACCCACTTCTCTATGAGGCTTGTACTGTAGGGGGACTTGTATGATAGTTTGTACGACTCCGGTGAAAGCAACACTGAAGGTCCCTTGTATGAACATCGTGAAAAACGGCTCTCTAGCTGTGTACACAATCTTGAAGTCCTTACCTGAACCTGTTCCCAAGATCCATGAATCTCGTTACGAAATACCCAATCTCGTTACGAAATATCCTACAAGCCCTGATAATACCTAATTCCTCAAATGATGGGAAACCAAGCTTGACGGTCTCGGGTTCATATTGGGTTCCAAATTCTACAATAGTAAAACCAGCCCGGAAATCACCAGCAGGGGAGGCAGGCAGCACCTGTCCGATGCTGATCTCGGACATCTTGTCGAAGCCCATACAGAACTTGGCGAACGAGGCCCGGTGGAGGCATCGGTACCTGTTAAGAGTGATTCTGCACAACGTATAACAAGTTGAAGCTGGATGCAGTCTCCCATGTTGCAGATACAAGACAGAGTTCGGTCAGCGAAGAGACATGTCATTTTGTGCACGGCTGGCCCCCGACGTGTGAGAACACTGCAGAGCAGCCTGAGATTCAGACCCCTCCCAGCCCATCGTGCTAGGCTAGGCTAATTTGGACGAGCACACCTCTACATGAGATTTCTGTGGGCACAGAAAGAGAAGGGGTTCGGAAGCGATATGATCCAATAGGATAGTTATGTCTTGAAGTAGCAGCCTAAACTTATACATCAACCCATCCTCTTCATCTCCCGCACAGAACCCCAGACTTCGATAGAGTCACCCAGCATCTCCGTGAGCAAGTGTTGCTCAGGCCTGATTTTTCAGGAAACCTCAGCGAGTCATTGCATGGGAATCAGCGAGTCATTGCAGCACACGAACCACGAACTGTTTGTGTGCACAACAAGGAAACAAGGAATTACAGGAGAGGCACTTTGAACACTCTCCAGACACAGGAAAGATTCGGCTCGCTCTTTGCAGATCTTCTTCAGGGCCAAGCCATCGGCCTTCTTGCCCGGGCCAACCAACTCGAAGCAATGCTTCCAGAATGCATCCTGATTTCAGATGCACGAGCAAACCAGACCACTCCCCAAAGAAAAAATCCATCCCGTTATTCCTTCTAGATGAAGCTTAGGCACTGCATGTGTTGAAGGTGACTTCAAACGGGGCTGGCAATACAACTGATAGGCGTCGCGGATGCTCTCGAATCTCTGCTTGGCCCACACGTCTTTGCTGGGCATGGGTCGGTTGGCAAAGGTTTTGGCGGGGCCTTCCCGGCGCTTGCGGGGCGGTTTGGGCTCATCATCATCGTCATCCGGGCAAATCCTTTTCCGGGGCACGGCCTCAACCAAAGCATCAGGCTTGTCATCAGCCAGCATCTCTTTTTCAAGCTCTTCTTCGAGCTCCTTATCAACTTCGTCTGAAGGTGACCCGGGAGCCTCCTTCGAAGACTCGGAATCCTGCGATTTCGCAGCCTTGGCGTTCGACTCCTTCGAAGTCTCGTCATGCTGCGATTTCGCAGCCTTGGCCTTCGACTTTGCTTTCCCTTTCGCCTTTGCTTTAGCTTTGGGCTTTGCGGGGTCAGCTTTCGATTTGGCTTTTGCTTTTGGTTTTCGCATTGCTGGCTTCTTCTTCACAGGCTCATCACCGAAGGATTCCTCATCAGGCTCCCGACCCTTCTCCT